CCCATCCGGCCACCCCCTGGCTACGGGCCTGAATTGATCCCGACCATAAAATAAATACCTACAGATCGACCCTGCCCATTCAACCAGATGCTTCTCGCGCTCCAACGAATCCAGCGACCTTCAACAACTTCTAGAACCGGTCACAGGCTCAGCGCTCATTGAACTCCAGAAACGACACCCCCTCAAGCCACTCGACATATTTTTGTACTATTGTAAATAAACCCGTAAACGTTACAACATATTATTAGCACACCCGCTAATCTATTATTCACAGACTTCCTATCATTTCACTATTTTCCACGTCCACAGGAGTCCTAGATCACTCTTGAGTAGGTATATGAATTTCAACCAATAAACTTAAATAATTGCTGTCAATTAATCAAAACAGTCAATTGTTTGATAATCGATTAACATTTTACTTTTTATTATAGTCAATTAATCAAGTAGTGGCTTAATCGAGTATTTTTAGTAATCAGGTATCAACAAGCTAGAGCTCTAATGGTGAGTATATTTTTTCACAAAATAATATATTTCTAAATCAGTATAACAATAATAATTTCCAGTAACATCCATTGTTATACAAACAAACCAACATAACATAGTAAAGACTTTATACCTGTACCTTTGAATAGGTATAACATTTTATACTTATACTAACTATTGCTATTACAATATTTTAACTATAACAATATGACACAATAGTATCACCACCCTTCAATGGCACCCATATGGAGGATATTGATGTGGGTTAAATAGAAACGATCACAGCACACATTAGTGTAAAACTTGTTTGCTTAAATCACAGCAGTCAGTCTTGAATTCTCCTTAAAGGCACTCTGAAATACGGCGAAATTTGGCATCCATTAACTCCTGAAATCTAAACAAAGATAAGGTTGAACAGCACTGGGGAAATACGCACGGAAAAAGGATTGAGTTCATTCAATCCACAATTAAAGTCTTTTTGTTAAATTTACCTATATCGAATCGCTACATTTTCCTCCAATACGTTGACGCCATTAAAAGCAGCCTGCGTGCGATTCGCTACAAACATTAATATCAATTACTACACCAAAACACGTCTGCTATGCGTCACCTTTCTTTCTGTGCATATCACTAAGCGAACTAAGTTTCTCCGCTTGCAACTGCCTTAGATCTAGAGTAAGTTGTGGTGTGGTAGTACCAAGACCTGCCATGCACGAATTCAACTTTTCCAGCTCTTTCCAGCAGTAGCTTACACATCTACAATCAAACATAGCAACTACCACCTAAGTCGAGTATAACAAACCTCAAGTAAGAGACCAAAAAGCTGTCACGTAACAAAAGATCTTTAAGTTTTAGGGTATCAGAAACGATTTTAAAAATCTTTGAACCGCCAGTCAAACTCGATGGATTATACATATTTATTGCGTTGACATCATCACACGCTCCTTGTACGCTGTAAAAATCCATTAAACATTACAGTTCTAATATCCGAGACTTACAGCGATTCAAATTTGTCAAGGTGAAATGCCCGAAACGCGACTCTGTTGGCGGCTTCGACCCGTTTAAACTTCTCCAGCAAGGCCTCGCGCCTCAGTACGATTTTATTAAAAATCTCGACCACCTGGGCGAATCGTCGCATTTGCCCATCGAATTGTTCCAAAATTTGACTATAATTGGTGTCCTCGTATACCTTAGCAGAGAGTGAGAGGTCCTGATAATTGTATACTTCTACTTCGCATAGAAATTTCTTCAAAACTTCCCTTAATTGGGCGTATTGTAAATTACATTTATCAAAAATGGTTTGTAGACAATTAAACTGAGAGGTTATTGCGAATTTGAGACCGGAAACGAGCCTCATTTCTCTTAGGACGAAGAATGCTGTATGCGCGTATAGCTGCTTTATTGTACCAAACTTGAATTCAGTCTTGCAGTTTTCGAAAAGTATTTTAATTAGTGCGGGTAGCTGCGTTGTTATAGAAGCGAAGGGGGCGCACCTATTGAACACGAACAGCGTAATGGGACTTTCCTGTAAAGTTAAAAAACTTATTACCAGCTCGTACCACACGGGAAGCCACCGCTTGGTAATCCTCCTACAGTAGCTTGTTTTAGTTAAAATTAATTCAAATTTTTAGAACACATTCAATGCCACAAACAAGAAAATAAATGGATGCAAATAGATCGATTATCAAGAGCTCTGGAATGTAGATATTCAAAATGAACTAGTAACACTTGCAGTGAAGGCTGATTTGTCACTAGATAAAATGTTCATTAGCCTTGTTGGTTTAAGTCATTTAATGGTACCAATTTGTTGTACTTAGTGAGTATCATAAATTTTCAACCGTATATGTAAGGGAACATTCAATCGTAATCCCGATGTAAGGTAATAGTATTTTACATTATTAGCCAGGTAAGTGAGTTTTTACTGGCGATAGGAGAAGTTGACTGGCGAGCCGTTAGGCGAGCCTGTCATCTCCTAGAGCCAGTAAAAACTATTACCTGGCGTATATTGTACAATATTTTATTTGTTACTCATTTGTAAACGTAAATAATTAGTTCTTAAATTGATCTTGAAGAAATGTCTAAAATATCATGTGATCCATGTAACAGAGACTTCGCATTAATTATGGCCAATGAAATTACTAGATTACTAACTTGTAAAATTTTTACAGGTCTGCTGTCAGTTTTACAAGTCTGCTGTCAGTTTTACAAGTCAGTAGCGTTTAAACATGACGTTTACCCGTTTGCGTTTTGTGTTGTTAATCAACGTTTACAACTGAGTAACAAATAAAAGTTTTATCTGGTCAGATGTTTTGCAAAAACGCGTTATGGGACAAATTAATTGGCTTTGTTTACTAACAACGCCACGTGCAAGATAACGAATGCAGCTTTCATCATTCTCATTTTGACCACATACCATTACCACAGCATTAATTTTTGGCGCCCAACGTGGGGCCACACCTCACAAAACCAACCTACCTTATTGTAGTACCCTATAGCATAAATACTATCAGAATGTTGGGTTGCTGCTATACACTGATCCATTATGGGAATCTTTGTATCCCGTCCAATCCAACCTTGAACCGTCGACAATAATGTTGATTCGTTTATTTCATAGCTGAGAAATTCGCACGTATAAACAGAGTAGACCATAATAATCTTCTTCAACAAAATCTCTTCAAGAACTGCAAAAATATAATCGCAATGGTTGTAGGAACCGCGAAGATCGGGGCTAAATTCCAGCGCAATCTGCAACCACTTTTCGATTAAGTGCGCCAAACACATGTTTATATGGTTTTCTTTAAATAACTGCGTGAAGAACTCCATTCGCCCATTATAGGTCAACTGAATTGCAATCACATCGGACGGTTTCTTCTCCAAATGGGCAAGACTAAATGACTCAATTAAAATTTGTTTAAAATTCATACGCATATACCTTTGCCATGGAGTGAAGGTGTGCAAAAATGGCCGTATCCCACAAATAATCTCGAATATAACAATCCCAAGTGACCAATAGTCAACCGTCTTTGTGCACTTCTGCTTAATGAAAATTTCGGGCGCCAAATACTGTAAGGTTCCTACAAAACTTGCCGTTTCACTGTCGATCTCCTTCGCATATCCCAAATCGATTAACTTGTAAATTACACCGCGTGGCCTAGTGTCGCACAACTGCAAGACAACATTTTCAGGCTTAATATCGCGATGTATCACGTTAAGTTTGTGCAAGTACTTCAAAGCATTAACTAAATCGCTAATAATACACAAAATCTCCATTTCCCTCAACCCACAGCAATTCTCAGGCTTGACCAAAACAGAGCGGAGATTACCAAGACGGCAATACTCCATCGACAACAACGGAAGTTGCGAACTGTAATAACTCAAGCCCCTTTGTAAGTCTTCCGGCATCTTACAATAGGCCACAATGTTCTCATTTCGAATGCCCTCCATTATACCGACTTCGGCCTTCCATCGTTCGCGTTGCTTTTCGGTTAAATGGGACTCTAGATTCCATTTGCATTTTTTTATTGCTACAACTTCGATGAGTACGAAAGCGATAAGGTACAGCGAGTCTCACCTAAGGAGTCTCCGGTAGTTTTGTTCAGCCAGAGATGTACAACACCAAAACCACCGGAGCCCAACTCTTTTTCACGTTTCCAATCACCTACAGAAGTGGGCTCGCCGTTTATATCCACGAGGGTGGATGGATTATTTTGTTTAAACATTAGTGGGGAATTAAGTATTAAGGTGATAAACAATAACAAAGAAATTAAATTATTACTACTTTTGTGAGGTTAAGGTTAAGTTTTTACTGCAGAGAGAGATAAAATAAAAACAAAAGGCGTGCACTATGTTGCCAAGTCTTGTTTTTGGGTCATTAAAATTAGCAACATTGTTTATCTACTAAAACAGCCGTTTGACGTCATGGTCATATATGTGTGAAAACAAGAAAGTTTCACAAATTAAGCAACCTATTTATTTATATTGAATTATATTAAATTATCGTTTATTTTCTATAAAAACGATCAATTTCGAGTATATTTATGCTTTTGTTTTATAATTTGTCATCAATATAATCGAAACTAAAAGCATAGAGAATCTAATTCCGAAAAATACACAAGCATCAGGATCCGAACCAAACAAAATCTCGGTAATCTCAGAGTGCCTCTCGGTCTGTCTGTACTCTCGAATTTCCGTCTAAACAGATGCACCGATTGGAACCAAATTGGGTACACGCTTTTTAGACATAAAACGAAGAGCTGAAAGGATATTGGGCAGAATCGCGCATGCGCAGGTACACGAGTGGTCACAGCAAATTTGTTCATTCTCAATCTGGATCTGAACCAGTGACTCGGTTTTGTGTAACGCAAACCAAGTAATAAATAGGATAGTTGCACAAGGAATATCTCATCATTGCTGTAATAAATCCTTTTATGCCTTTTCCCTCACTAGAGAATCAAGAAGGAAAATGTTCCCATTTATCAATCTCCAGATTAAACCAACATCCCTAGGTAAGTTAATATTACGTAGAAACCTAGGTAAAAACAGAACTCTTTAACTTTTTCCTGACTATTGGTCTTGCCCAATGACCCTTGCAAACCCTTCACTTGCAATTAATCACTTGGCATACTTGATACTATCTACCTGATTATTTGCTTAAAGTTAATAAATTGTTTCGAACCCATATATACAACGAATGACAAACGCAGACGTACGGACAGAAAGTCCAAATAACCAAAATTTAATGAGTTAGTTATTTGGCATGGGTAAAATAACGTTTTTTGGCAGATAACCTGCCACATGGCTGGCTGATTATGTACACAGACGGATGGACAGACGGACGCACGGACGGATTTCAAAATCATAAGCGAGCTGGGTCGCTCGTTAATAATAAGGTTGGTAGATACGGATAGAAACATTCAATGAAAGATCTCACATTAAAAACGTGATATTAATTATTCCCTGATTTGTACTTACCCGTATCCGTTAAAAGAACTGGTATTTCCTTGTTTTGATAGTAAGATATTACTTCAGTCACAGATAAATTTTGGGACAACTTGTATGTAAATATCTATTTAGCATTACTGCACTACAGCCAATGGATATAGTGGCATTCAACTGAATGAAGTAATTCCCCTTTTTCTCATAGGGGAATCCCTCATGTTGATTATTACTGTAAGATTGTATCCTTGCGTTAGTTGTTTGTCAATATTTTTAAGGTAACACAACGAAGTTGCGGTAACGCCTATATGCTCAATTTTCCGTCGTCTGTCTGTCTGTTCTTTTGAGATCTCGGCCCTTGGGCCACCTAGAGATTTTGGAATTATAATTTATTATTAAGTAGAGACGAGCACACGACATATAAATAGATTTGCTTTAATTTGTTGGATGTATTGAAAGCCATTGAATGATTACAGTGCATGAAATGAAGTAGAGAGCGCGGAATTGTTTAATTTACGAATGGCTTTTCTGCTTCTGAAAGTCCCCAAGTTCTTGGCATCAAAAGTCATATTTTTAAAACAAAAGACAATTAAATCAAGTAACTAATTATGCCTTTAAGCGATTCTACGGGTGGAAGATTTGCCTCCAAGAAAAATCGCCCTCAGAGTACTTTCACCCAGAAGATTCGCTCTCGAAAATTTTGACGGCAGTAAATGTTCTAGCCTTTATTTACCAATTTCAATTGAAGATGTCTGGTGGGACTTTCGAGGGCATAAATTTACCGGATCGAGTTTTCCAACTTGAATTACTGGAGCGAGTATTGCGGGTGGATTTATCGCATATGTTCTGATCAAAGGAAGAAGTTAAAAATGTATTTTCTACTTCATATATGCACCAAAGAGTAGAGACTCATTTATGAATTGCGACCAATTGCGACAGTCGTTGCCATGGATTATTTAAGCGATGTTTATCAGTCTGGGTCTGACGAATTACTACATTTTTAGTCCGTATACGTAAAATGCTAAAACTTTTATATGAAAGTTTTTTTGTATTCCCAAAATTAATGAAAATAAGTGGGGGTCAAAATATACTAAGAAACCCTGTACAATTTTCATTTTCATTGTGGGATTAGCGTACCGCATCACATAGCTCGGCAGTGGACACCCTGTACATAACAGATAGATCTGTAAATTTCAAAAAAAGAAAGTTTTGGAAACGTCATAGAAGGCTCTCAAGAACTTTTTAACCGCAGGCCAAAGTGCATTTTAGAACATTCGAAGTCTTGTTCCTCCTTCCAAAGCTTTTTCAACTTTCGTGGGCGTCTGAGGTCATTTCTTGAACCTTATATGACTTTTACAGAACTCTATATAGTGCTTTACAAGGCCCCTTCGTCAGCGTCTTAGGTCGTTTCTAGATCCCTACTTATAATAGGGCAAGGCAAGTCAAAGATTTTCAGTTTCTTTATAGCAGAGATAAAGTTCTCCAAGGAATTAATGGTTCAAACGATTTTCATACTGTTTAGACCTTTACTATAGAGCAAACTAACCAGCTTCCTGTGCTTTTCGGGCCATGTGAGAGTTTTCTAGATTCTTCAACTTTTCGGTGATTACTAATTTCTTTTAGTGCTTTCTGGGTGCAACTATCTGCGGAACGTGTTTAGTTGGCTCCCGTAAGGACCTAAGGAGTTCCTAAAAGAAACTGAACAAAGTCCTTTAAACGTCTTCTAGATTGTTATTAGGTTTTCCAGGTGCTGTCCAGCGCTTTTTCAGAGCTTTAAACCTTACTTTGTTTTTTTCCAGAGCTGTTACGCCATTTGTACATGTTTCGGTCATTTTCAAAGTAGGTTTTTCTACAGCTTTGAAAAAGCATAGCATAAATTTCACACGTGTTATTAGTCGTTCCTTTCGGTCTCTTGCCAAACTAGATTTGCTACTAAATGAATTAAAAGTTAATATCGATATAGACAGATCAATGAACAAAGTATCAGAAGAGAACAAATTCATGAATGCATTTGATGCCAATGATGGCTCTCCACCTTCCGATTACTCTCTTAGGGATGTAGCCTTTAATATTTCTAAGTCAGCTTAGCAAATTGTCAACGTTGAATCAAAATTCCAGGATTAGGATTTGTATTATAAACTTTACAGTAAGTCACTTTCCCCATCGAAACCTATACTTTAAAAACATGGAAAAACTGTTTATATAATTAAAACGAATGTAGATTTTATTGCAAATGAATAAATCTTAAAACCATTTGTATTCGAAATTCTAATTACCTAATTTTGCACTGCAAGTAATAGCACAAAACCCATTTTACCTATTAAATACTTCCCCAACGCATTTTGTGTACCTATTAAATTCATTTTTAATAGTTATTTGTACAACTAGAGAAGAAAGTGGAGTTTTTCAATACGAGTTCAAATTTGAATTATTGAACGAAAGTTGAAAAACACTTTCTTCTCAAGTTTTACACATAATTTTTTTTTAAACTACAATCAAAATCGAAAAATTATCGTATGCAAATGCAATAATGATGTTTGACATATAGCAATCTAGATTCGGATATGTTTCAATTTTAAATGTCATTAACGCAGCAATTGTTTTTTACTTTCCTCACTAGAGAGGAAAATCGCATTTTCTTCACCCTTTTTAAGGACAAAAGTAGTTGTTTCTAAAGTAGTTTCAGAAGAATGTATTTTAACCCTCTCTACCAATAGCAGGATTTAAATTTCCAGAACATAAAACCAGAGTCCTTACCTCTTTGATAAAACCTTGCAGGGTATATTAGCTTATGGAGGGGTCTGGGCCGGTCCCACATCTTACTTCCTGTGTTGGACCACCCTCTTGTGAGGGTGGCAAGAAGATTATTAATTATTTCCAATATATCAAATCCATCTGTAAATAAACGGTGTAATTGGATTCCAAGGAACACCGTTAGAATGTGACCCCTATGTATAATAAATTGATATAATGCAACAATATCTTTGGGATAGTGACCAAAATTTGGTCATCTCGCCTAAGATATTTGCGCATTATAACTACAACAAATTATTATTTTAAATACTTATTTACTGCTGATGAAAATTTTATACAAAAACAAATGTAAATTCACAACGTTTATCAATTCTAATTTGAAACTGGATTGCGTTACGGGTGATAGTTCACCTTTTTTATGTAGATTCATTCGTCCTGTAAAATGGTGCACCTACCACATTTACAGTCCATAGTATACACATCATGGAGACGCTTCGAAATTAACCGCAAGTGCCCAATTTGCGCAAAGATGTAAACTTGTAGACACAACAATGGCATTAACGTACAAATCTCCTATATCGTTAGGAATATTTCTGGTTCTGGTCCATACGTGCGCCCCATCCGGGTTTGGTAAATGTCCTCGGCACGATTATATACAAAATTTTAGTTTAGAGAGGGTAAGTTGGAAACAAGCATTGTGGTCTATTTCCGTTCTAATTGAACGTCATGCTTTAGTTTGCGGGTCATTGGTATGAAATTGAAAGGACGTTTTATTTAATGGAACTAACAGTAAGCTGCACAACACTCGACTTGATTGATAATAACAAAGGACAATTGGAAGTAACAGTAACGACGCTTAGCAGATGGTCAGTATACCAAACAAAGCACCTTCTTACTGTGTTTGTAGGTCCGGTAACCTTCGTGTAAGTGAAGGCATTGCGAGTTCGTCCAGAAAAGATCCAAGTTTGTTCCTTTATCGGGTAAATACAATTCTACCGCAAACTTTGGCCAAATATTTGCCAGGTGCCGGTTTCTATCAAGTACTGGATACGGACTATGATAGATTTGCAATACTATGGTCTTGTTCCAATTTTGGCGTGATCTATACTGGTGCGTAGACGCGGCGGAATATGCCAAAAAATGACTCCAGTGATTTTATTAAACAGATCTAGTGTGGATTTTCGCGCGTGGAAAGGAAATCGACGCCCAATTAAGGGCGAAAATTTACGAATTTCTTAAAACCAAAGGGATAGACTCGGAAAGGCTGGTGCTGCCCAAAAATAATAACTGCACCGATGAATATTAATCGCGTCGTTCTATTAACTCTGTAATCGTATGCATTAAAGAAACCTTAAAACGTAATCCTATTGTGGATTCGGTTTTAATTTCAGGCTATTATTCCGGTAGTATTGTTTGTACAAAAGGTATTCGTGGGGGATTAACCTTGACCTGAAGATTTGATTACAGTATAAATGACGTGCTGGAAAGTCTATTGAAACGTGATCGCAGCCAGCAAAGTATGACCGAAAAGATTTAACAATACACCATTTAGATACCCTGGTGTAGTAGCATAAAACACAAGGACGACGAAACTTCGCATCGTGGCACAATACCCACAATATCGTGACCTGCTTGAAGTAGTTGTCCAAAACTGGTTTTATGTTTATTACATATAGATCTTCGGACCTACCAAAAATTTTAATATTGCATAACTGTAATGAAAATGTAGTGGTTAGATGTTGTTGTAAAATAATGTCAGTGTCATTTTGCGATACTAATTTGCAAGTTCTTTTTCTTCTAACATGTAAGTTGAATTATTTTTTATGGCACCTCTTTTTTTGTTGCACAAAAGTAACGAACGCAAATTCCATTGTTAATTGCTATAAATTGCATGGATTTAGATAGTACTGATTATTCAAAGGTATGCAGCACTCGTTCACTACACAATTCAAATTTAAAGTAATGTTCTAAAATTACTAATCAATTTTTTTCATTGTATACAATAGGGTGGGTATTCGTGCCGTTGGTGGGTCTATTTTGGTACCGACCGTGTCTTTTGCTTGGATCCTCAGATCGTTTAACGTGGGCAAGAAGAATATTTTATTTCCGCGCTCTAAGAAAAAGACCCTTTTCCAAAAAATTGGACAAATACACGAAAATTTTCATTGCCTAAATTTAATTTAACTCCGCTTCAATCTTTCAATATTATTGCCGCGATTGGGACAACTTTTTCTGAAAATGTTCTTTGGAATCTTTCATGACCTCAATGTAACTTACTACAACAAATAATTTAACGGGTTTAAGAAAATCGCAAATCAATTGATCGTTTTTAGATAAAAGCAAATACAATCTGATTTTTCCAACTCGACCTCCGTCATCCGTGTACGTTACACGACCCACCCCGGCACCCCTTCGAGTTCTTTGCCATGACACACAGGAAATAGGTAACAATGCGTAAAGGTGCGCTCATAATAGTTTATTGATTTAACAATCCGGAAGAATCGTGAATTTTGGGCGCGGGTCCACTCAGGGTCCACCTAATTAACAAAAAACAAGCTGTTTTCAAAACCCTGCCTAAGAAAATATGACAAGTTTAGCGCCTCTTATTAACGGAATGTTACGCTTTTACTTTAAATATGCGTTTTTTAGCGTATTTTTGCAAATTTATTTGTAAAAAGGTAGCTTTTAAAAGCTGGCTCGCTTGCTGACAGCAAATGCGGTCCCGTAGATGAACGCTTGTAGAAAGACGAGGAGTGTACATGTATTTACCGAGGCCGTGTAATTAACAACTATTAACAACTTTCGGGACGGAGCTACATGATGTGGGGTCGGTGGGCGCCATCCCCGAGCGTGGTGTACTAACCTGGAGATTTTTCAGTTTTTTCCTATTTTCTTCTACAGTTTTGGTCTGATTGTTTTCAAATTTGTGTCGTCGGCAAGATTCTTCACACAATTCCTACATGACGGTATTTTTTCCTAGGGGCGAAATTAACCATCTTTTGCAAGGCGGGCGTCCAAAAGGTATCTTCCCCTGCGAATTTTGACACGCGAATCGCTCGAATCGCGGTCTCTCTTTCTCGTGTCTCCAATAGAAGGTCGGTCTATGAGAAGTGCTCCAAAAATTTAATGCTATGTTGTGGCGGTTTTTAGCGAAATCCACCAAAATGTGAATTGCTGGTGAATGGGACGTCGGAAGCGAGTGGAGTCAAAACTGGGTAATAGAATACTGATCTAACACACAAAAATTCGCTGAAGTCCTTCCGATCTCGCACAAAGGCTTTGATAATTTTATGTATAAAAATCATTTAGCGTATAGGTGAATGTAATTAATGCGGCGATTACCTATGTCAATGTGATAAATTTGGGGTGCATTTCCTTTTAGAACTTTAGGGGAAGAGAAACTATACTGTTAATTCTTAAAAAATGCGCTAAAAATGTTATTATTTTTAAAAATTACTATATGAGCTCACGAACATTTAAATTAGTGTATCTCCTAAACTATACATGTTAGGGGGCCAAATATATACTACAGTTGTTAATAATGGATGATTTTACCTAAGTATTACCGTTAGTGAGTTATTTTTAAAAAAACCGGAAAAAAGTCAGAAATTTTTGCAGATTTTTGACCGCAGAAATTTCTCCCGACGTCAGTCGCATTGGCAAACTTGGATTTTTCTCTCTCTTTACTATTTAAACAAGTTTGAAAAATAAAATCTTCTACCGGACCTTTTGTAACCATTTACTTAGCATTTTTACGTCTAATTTTACTGGACTATTCCCAAAAATTCATTAATATGTCAAACTAGCTCTTTAAGTCTTCAAAAGGCTCTATTATACTCAAAAAAGAGGACTATTGAACACTGGAACTTAGAACTGCGATTATTAAACCATAACAGTATATTATGCAATGGCTATAGACACGGTAGAGAGATTACGTAAATGAATGAGTCTCTTAGGTAATAGCCATTACGCGTGAGTTTCATCACTGTTTTTCTACGACGTATGATGACCTATAAAGAGGTGATGCCACGTTTGGTTTCAAAGCGGGTTCAAAATCATGAGCAGTCATGGGTAACTATTGATTTTCATTAAATTATGCGTCGTAAATCCCGTATGCTGCATTTCTATTGGAGTAAACTTGGTATCTTAATGGGAAAATCTGTATCAATAATGACTATCATTACAAGTACAGGTAGCCAAATAGTCATTCATTAAAATAAAATTGTAGAGAACTGAAGCATTTATTGGTAATTGTGTTCAAAACTTGGCGGGAGAAATTTGGGCTATTCAATTCAAAAGTTAAAATGACCTTCATTTTGTTGTAATTTTTTGTAAAAAAGTTTTGTACAAAAGTTGTAGATATTGAACTATTGATTTTCAAAAACCTTTGAAATCCTACTACAATAATGGCAATATAGAGATTCTAGAATAACAAAAAGGTCCATATATTCGGAAACAAAAGGCTAAAAAGACAAAAAGTATACTATTCTACTAAAAAAACGAAATCAAGGTCTACAATCTTAGGGCAGTACCAGTCGATTTCCGAGCACGAACGACATGTTACTTTTAAGCTCTAATCTAAAAATTCTCTATCCCATTCCCCTTCTTCTACAAAAAAAAATCCCGCAAACGGCAAATATGTACATAATCTCAATAGTGATATATTTATTTATTTATTTATTGCCGTCACTTTCTCAGCCTTTGGAAAATGTGTTATTTATATTTTATTTTTATTTTTCTGTTAATTTGTTTTTTGTCCTGAGGAAGCCCCACTAAAGTGGGCGAGTTTTCATTCTACATCGACACGTGGCTATTCCAGAAGTTGCCACCATCTTAACACTCTTCCGGGAAGCTTCCGCTATGACAAGGTTACATAGTCAACCTTCGCGTCTGTTTTGACCATTAAAAAACAGAGAAGCTACTACGCACCAAAATGATAAGAAAAGTGTTTTCCCGGAGAAATTTTGGTGTAGTCGAATTTTTGGTAACAAAGGAAGTTATACCTGCTTTTTACTTTTTAAGGCTCCAAAACAAAATTGGTCTCAGATCGACCGCGAAACAACATGTTTCTTATAGAATATGGCCTGCTAGATTCTATAATTTCAGAACAGTCCAGATGGGCTACTAGATCAAAGTTACAGCCCTGGGCTACAATGAACGCGTTTTGTACAACCATGGTATATGGATATCAACGAGTTGTGAATTACAAACCATTTATTTAGTTCATTTCTCAGCTGCCATTTTTTGAGATCAAACGAACGGTTAGCCAAAATACTTATAGGCAAGGTAGGTACTGATCAATTAGAAATGAAAACTCTCTGGTTTTGAAAAAGCTTTCAAATGTATAATTTCCTTACGTACTATGTTACGCTGAAAGTGGCGAATATTCATAGATAACCGGTCAATGTGAATATTAGGGAAAGATAACAACCCCCGGAACGATTTTTTAGAAAGAAATTCAA